AACATAATACAACACAACACAACAAAACTCAGCATAACATAACACAGAAGCATAACATAACATAGCATAATACAACAAAACATAGCGTAACATAACATAACATAACAAAAGATAATATAACATAACATAACATAGCATAACATAACATAATATACCATAACATAACATTACATAACATAACATAATATAACATAACATAACATAGCATAATATAACATAATGTGGCGAATACTGCGGCAACACAAAGCGAACAACGAGAAATAGGCAGAATTTTCGAGGAATGACGTAGAATGTTCCACAAAGAGAAACGTCAAGTTGGATGAACACTGCGAACAGCGAGAGAAAGAGAATGAGCGATAAACTTCAGAATGTTCTAGAGTTGCCATAAGTGCCAGCGCAGGTATATAAGGGCGCCGCCACAGCGGAGTTGAGAGTTACGGAGTTACAAGTCAGCAAGCTACAAGTAAAGTGAGCGGAGAATTGAGTTGCGAATAAGCAAGCTATAAGTTTAATTGTGTTAACAAGTAGTAAAGCGTTGTTATTGCTTTAACAAGTATTGTAAAGTGTTTTTACTGTATTAGCAAGTATTGTAAATAGTTTGTTGTACAATAAAGTTAATTGTACTACAATTCGGTCATCGTTAGCATTTATTTAACAATCCAGCGATACGAGCCCGAGTATATTTGGGTACTCCCTCAAGGTTTCGAGGATAATCGTAACAATAACATAACAAAACACGAAACAATAAAACACAACACCGCACAACACATCACAACACAACAAAACATAACACGTCATTCTTCAATGTTATCTTTTTTTCTCCTTTCTTCCTTTAATCTTTTCATTTTTATATTTATCACTTCCTAGACTTTAATTCAGATCGTTATCTGTACTCCTTTCTTTATTTAACCCCCCAAGTTCTATTGAAGGTTTTCCAATAATTAAAAATTATACTCGCTAACAGCCTGATAGACCCTTTTATTTTAAAGAAATCATTGGCCTCTTTTTTTTGGTTCCAAGTTTTTGAGTCTAAGAAGGTCTCGTGCCCACGTTTTAAGAGACAGTTCAAATTTTGCCAGTCCGACATTTGAGAATTCCGGCTTGATAAATATAAGTTTCTAGGTTAGAATCAATGAATCATCTTCTTAGACCTCCTATCTTTAAATATTTCGTGGCTTGTTTTGAACAGAAAAGATAAAAGGCCAAAGTAGTTGCTGGGCGGTGGTCCACGGCGTATGATCAACTTTTTTTTTTATTTCATTGCAATTTAAGTGAAACAAATAATTAAAAAGAAAGTTAAGACACGCATTTATAAGTGATTAATAGAAAAATAATAATCGATCCCTGCACCGTGTTTATGGCTGTTTTCAGCGTATGACTAAAGCGGAAGTTTTTAAGCTGCCAAAATCGTCGCGCGGTAATTACACAAAATTCGCGAGATCCATTTTGTTTATTTTCTCTTTAAAACACGAAAAGTCTCCACACTAGACCATCACTTTTGTTGCTTTTTTAATTTTCGTAAGTATTCGACTATTGACTAAAACAATTTCGTTTAGTTTGACAGCTAAATCTATCGTTTGTTAAATTTGCATGGATGTAAATCTATTATAAAAGGAAGTATGTAGAAGTTTATAAATTTAAATTGTTTTTTGAAATATTGCGGCATATTCTTATTTTCGTACGAATCGAAAATCTCGAAATTTTCCCATCATTTTCTATACAAAAATTTAAAATTACGTACGAAAACAAGAATACGCCTCATTATTGCTTGGCGTCTGCCCAAATTTTTGGTGTCCACTGTTTTAAAGTAAGGTTACTGATGTTGTTCGTAGCAGAAATTACTTCATGGGAAATCGTTTAAAAAAATGTACATATGTATGTATGAGAAGATAATTGAACGTACATATGACTATGAGATTATTTGAAACACAATGTGTGATGAACGCATGATGCGTCGCAGCATTCCAGAGCACTAATTTTGTTACTGTCAACGCCTTTGAAATAGACCGCCCGCATACTTTACCCTAAGTATTTCCTTGGAAATGGTTTCCTCTTGCCGTTTCGTGCGTGGAAATTCCATTCTGTAACACACTTGCCAACTGATGTGGCTGGCTAAAGCTTACCACACAGAAAAAGAGTCAACGCAATATTTGATGGCGCATGAAAAGTAAGAGGAAAAAAAGCAATATGAGCACTCAGCAACATGCTCGCAGTATCAATAAAATGAAATCGCTACCGCCAAAAGGCAACAACAATAAACGGTAGAGGTAGCTTCTTCCATCTCTGCTTCATTACAAACTGTGCACACATACATACACGCAAATATAGTATATTTTTCTTGATAAATATGCACAAGCACACCAAGTGTACCTTGAAATTGCTTCACTTGAAATGAACACGAGCTCTCGCTCCTCCTTGCCATCTTGATTTGCTGCGAATGGACGGTCATGCGGCTTCGTCTTCTGCTTACCAATAAATATTCGTTTAATATTTAAATATTTATGTTTATTGCTCGTGTTTCTGTTGTTGTTTACATGCTGTCTTACCGGTCGCGCTGACCCATCTTGTACCACAGCAACCAAGCAACCAATTGAGTTCGCAATCAATTTGAGAATTTCAATTTTCGTTGCAATTTTACTTTTCTCCGCAAACTTCTCAGATAAGTGCTACTTGCAGGCTTTATTGGTACATTATTTGTATTCAAGGCTTTTGGAGAAATTGTTAAACTGAAATGTTGACTTTTCTGAGCATGCGAAAATATACGTGTATTATGAAAACAGTTGCTGAGGGAGAATTGTTCAGTAGGGTAGTGCAAGAAAGAAAATCATTTAAGGAGGTTAGATTTTAAGCTAAGTACAAAGAGTTTGAAAAATGCCCGCAAATGTAAAAAGTGGCTTAAAATCTCATTGTTATATTTGTTTATTAAAATAGAAGTGCTTTCAAAGTGGGTTCTTGCTCAAGAAGTAAGAGGACGTCATATCGGATTGCATAGATCCGGAAAATGAGAAACTAGAGTCAAGCTGTCTATACTTCGTGCGGTATCGAGATACCCTTGTCAATTTTGACCACGCTGATGACATTACTCATTGTTTTTTATACAGCCTTATTAAATAGTTTCGCGCATAAATCAAATTGAGGCATTGCCGAGCCAAGGTGTTCAAAATTTTGTACAGCCGTGTTCTTTGCACTTTTTTTATATTTTTTACAGGTTTTCATTTAATGGATGCCAGAAAATATTAGAAAATGAAAAAGCTTTAGCCCTTAATTCATAGCAAAGGCAAATTACGAAAATGTAAGCATTTTTTTGGTCGTAATTTTTTTTTTTGGTCAAAAACCAATATTAAATACGCTGTCTTATGCATGAGACGATTTTTTCTTAGGATACCTATAGTAAAATTTAGCAAAAAATTCTTTCACCAGTTCGTTCGTACCAGAACGGATAACCTTGACGCTGCTTTAAATAAACCTCATTTAGAGGGCTAAAATGTTATACAAAAATGTTAACCAAAAAAATTTTTATGGTTAACTGAATATGAAAATTTTTTGTAGATTACGGGCAAAGAGCAAATACATATTTGTTTTATGGAAAATAGTCAAATATTTCAATAGATTTGACTACCAAATACTAACGTCTGGTCATAGTTTAGTTGAAGCCTTAAAATATGTGAAATTAATTTTTACCTTACTTGTGATTAGCTTTACAGTGATAAAAAAGAATGGGCCACGAAGTCTGCAGTTTACTAATTTTTGACTCTAGTGTAGGGTTACCAGACGCCCTCCTTTAGGAGGACATGCCCTCCTTTTTGGATAAAAATGAAATGTTCTCCTTTATGACTGAAATGTTCTCCTCTTTTGCATTTTGTATTTTTCGCATAATACTTGTAAAGCAAATTATTTTATTTGTAAATGACAATGTTTTCTTTGTCTTATAGTCACATTTACTGTAATGAATTTAACCAGTTTGTTTATTATTTTTTATACAAGTTTAAGGCATTATGTAACAATCACTATACCGCAAAAATGTTCAAAATTTTTCTTCAAAAAATTAAAAAAAAACCATCAAACCCATCTCCTAAATGAAACTCCGTATCAAATACTTATACTCGTGAACGATTACTCAAATTTCAATCATATTCCAATCATTATTCATTGACACTGCAAAAATTTGAAATTCATAGCAATTTATGAAACACCAAATGACTGTAAATACATAAATGCATATGCACTATATGCAACAGCATACCCATACATACATATATAAGTATGAATATATTTACTTGGCATGTACCCTCTTTAATTCAATTTACTTGAAATTTCGATGATAGATTTCAAATCAACCAGCGGGCGGGCTTCAGTGGTACTGTGGCAACGCATATAAGCACCAAACTGTGTGCAACATGCACACACACTCGAATTAATTCCTATACATATCCATCGTTAAGCACTGTCGCCAGCGAAATCCCAGCTATGACACAAATATTTTTTGTGGCTACACCCGCTCTGTGACAGAAGAATGGTAAGGATTCGAGTCTTGGCGCTTGAGTAGAAAACCACATTTTACTGCACCGCAAAAATTGCATTTAGGCTGGCCGCAAATTGCAAATCAAACACCAACGCGCTCACTCCGGGCTAGTATGAGCATAGCTAAACTTGCACTTGACAGAGAGTGCTGGAAAACGCACATTCACACCTTCATACAAACATACATACATACATATGTACGCACACACATTTATATGAGCATTTTATAACGGGTATAACGGCATGTGTACTTGTAAATCGTAATAGTTGTGCAAAACGCATTAGTAGCAGCTTGTGAGCACTTATGCTGCCGCCGCCGCCAACGCCATGCAACCGCAGAAGGACATTTTGAGCTGGCAAAAGGATCAGCGGCAACTATGCGGTTTGCCAACAAGCGTCTGGAAAAATATACTTACATACGATGACGACGGCGTAGAAGCAGAAGCAGCAGTAGCCTAAACTCAGCAAGTCAGTCCGTCATGGAGCTAGGCAGTCTTGGCAGTGAATGGCGTTGGAACGAAACCAATGAAAGTGTGTGTACACGTGTTGCAAAGCGCGAAAATGTGCCACTTGACGCCGCAATTTGGCACTTGCAACATGCAACTTTGGCGGCCGTCGTTAGCAACACAAGGACACACTCGAACGATGAGTGGCGGTGGCGGAGGTGGTGGCGGAGTAAGCACCACACTGCGGGAGGGATTCTACTATGTATCTGTGGCTATAGCAGCAGGGCAGACTAAATAGACGACTGGTTTCGTTATTTGTAAATCTGTATATGCGTACTTTTACGGCTACCAAGGCAACCTAGCAACCTAGCAACCTAGCAACCTATGCAATACAAATACATATGTATGCACATATATACCTATAGTACAAATATTGATGTGCCTCGATGCCGATTCCTGCCAGAATTATTCAACTATAAATTCAGCGAAGCACGCAAGCGGCAAATATGCATGCATATCGTTCAAATCACGTTAGCCATATAGCTGATATGTATTACTACAGCAACAGTGCAGATAGTATTTGTAGCGGAAATGGCAAAACGAACGGTTTGGAGAGCAAATCCACTTGCCATTTCAATCAGATTGTTGTGTGTTATACTGAAAATCTATTTCACGCTCAAACTGACTGGATTTAATCTCTATAAGAAAGTTTGTGTGTTGTTGTATGCATGCTTGTGTAATAAGTTTCCTGTAAGCCCTACAGTGGAAGCTATGTACTAGTTGTTAACTATTCGTATACAAATAAGTTGTAATGGATTTTTTTCGATTCTGAAATTTTATTTTGTAAAATTGGTATTTTCTTGAAAGTTTGCCCATCGCCAGCTGGACTTTTCCCACTTTGAAGACTAAGGAATGTTCGGTGCCATCGACCAAAGTTTTGACACTTGTGTGACATATGGACGAGCATTATCTAGAGATGCCGTTTTTAAATCGATTAGATCGATTAGTCGTGCCCTTTCAATTGGATTTTTCGTCGATTTAGTTATTAGTTTAATTCGGATACGATCCGTAAATCGATAAAAAAAATTCGAAAATCGACATTCGATTTTTCATTGGAGTTTCAAACTTTGTGGATATTTTCGTTAAAATTTTGCCACCGTAATTTCCTTCTTTAAAAAAAAAATTTAGTATGCCGTTCTATAGTCCATTGAATTCTAGGTGCGAGTTTAAATATGTCAAAACTTAGCGTTGATTTATGGCGATTTTTTTTCTTGACGCTCATGCACATTTTCTTTCATATATAAAACAATTTCGAGCTCTGGAGGAAATGAACAACATCTTCAGTGAAAAAAATTACCAGAAAACCAAATTGCACTCTATTAAAATTAAATCTTATTAAATTCAATGGCCTACAAAACGGTAATTAAGGAGTGAGATCTAGAGTTAGTAAAAACAAAAAAATCCAAAAATAATCCGTATTGCAAAAAAATCTGTGTACATAACCTGTATTGGGCTAGTGTATGCACAATTCTCTTTTTTTTTAAATTCCGCTTAATTTTAAAGTAAAATATAATTTTTTTCTCGTGTTAAAAAACAAAACTTCAAAAAAACTTTACTGTTTCCTTAAGCAGGGCTAAGAATTTTTGAAATTTCTAGTGAATGCCCATTTCGTTGGCTTAATATAGAACAATCAGTGTGGCTTTAGACCTGGAAAATCCACCATAGATCAGGTATTCACAATACGCCTAGGGAGTGGAGATTCGTGGAGGATCATTACTAAACGAAATGCTAAAATCTGAGTCTTATTCCGGTCGCATTGCAGGATTTTCCTTTTGACGTGGCCTAATATACATACATATGTACATATGTAGATATATTCGGCGGAAAGACGATATAAATAGAGAGCAGATAAATAAGTACTTTGCACTTTGTAGAGTAGTTTAGATTTAGCATTATATGCACATATGTATATATGTATGTATTTTCAAATGTACAGATTTATTTTAATTGGAAGCAAGATTTGCAATTTCAGTGCTGATTGCTTTCGCTTTGCAAGTTTGGGCTTTGTATTGTACACTTGAGTTACGTGGTAACTGGAGAATATTACCTATAGCAACTCTATCAAATTCTGAATACTAAATTCGAATTAAATTTTTCGCTCAAATGAACTATTTTTCATTAAAAATTGTTAACTATATTCGTAGCTTTTTGTTATTTATATTTGTTTTTGTTTGGTTATGCTTACATACGTAAACATGACTACCTTACATTACAAATAATGTAATAAATGACAGATTTATTGTAGAAGTATATTCTGCTGTTTACATATAGTGAGATGTTCTTGTCAGAGCTATGGTCTAACGAGAATAAACGAACAAATTGGAAGGGTGACATCAAAATCTTGTTTTCAAAATAATTAGTTCTAAGCAAATGTAAAAATTCCACCTAACACTATACTAAACACTTTTGGATTTATTTTACTGGGCCGCATATTATTTGTGATCGGATAGGAAAAAAATGGCTACCGGCCACAGAGCTTTTGTGCCTTTGTCTCGTGCCTTTGACTCCATAAGCAGAGCCGATTGGGAATTCCTCAAAAGAAGATTGACATCATTCCCTACCGACACTCACAGCATTTTATACATTTCACTGAGTATAGTTACGGTGGCCATCTGTACTTTTTTCAAATGGCAGTCCTTTTTCTCAAGGTGCTGTATTTTGACTTTATTTATTTTTCTAAAAAGCTATTTTGTCCTTTATTTCAAACCTCGATTTTTGGAAGCGCTTTTTTGATACGTTATCATGCTGCAATGCATTTCATATATGGGAAATCTTTTAAGATGGGGACATTTTACATACTGGCTTATTTTTGCCACCACAAAGCATCTACACTATCAAGTCCGGTTTCTATACCCTCTTTTAGGCGACTTATATGTTAAATTCCAGCGAATAAATTCGAGAAAAGCTGGAAATTTCTAGTACAACTCGCATCTGATCTAATTTTTACTTGGGTACTACTTCTTCAGCGATTTCCCCTAAATAGTGGGGGTTTCAGGTATTAATTTGTTGGTTCTGAGGAATAAAAATGCAGGTATTAAACAAATGTGTCAGTTATCAAAAATGCCGCTCACTTCTGTAACTGAATTTCTCGTATTTTATAAAAAGCGTGAAGTGTGATGAGCGGTACCTATTTCACACTTATTTACTTCTTCAGAAAAGGAAAAAGTGCCATTTAACATTTCTAAAGAATCGCCTTGAGAAAGCTCATAACTAGTGCGAAACTTCTTACTTACTAATGTTTTTTTTTTTCGTTGAGCATAACCAAAATATTTGTGGTAGAGAGCAGGAACTTGGTATGGAGATATACGAAGTTAATACTATACTCATGGGAAAGATGGGGGCTATTGGAAAATGAGAATTATTGCAACCTTGAAAATATAAATGGAGTAACTATTAAAAAAAGTAGTAACCCGAGTTAAAATTTATTCCAATTAGGTTGACAACTGATAATTTTTGGTCGAAAAGTTGTGCTACGATTTTAAAAATTTTTTGTTTTTTTTTATAGAAAAATGACCATCTTAAAAGGTTTACCCATACATATTTATTTGTATTTTATCGTGTTCGTTCTCATTTCATAACACCTTCTTCGAACAAACAAACAATTGCAATTAGTTGAAAATAATTGCAAAATTATGTGCTATGTTAATTAGTTGTACATATGTATGAAACTACCGCGTAAAATCACAACATCTGCATACCTTTACTTACTTATTTGCATTATAAACGCAGAATGCGAAAGAGCGTGAGCTGAAGCTTTGAATTTAGTTTCAAAATTCGTATTTAATGATGCAGCTTCTACGAAATTACAAGTTTCGTTTATGTTGCAACATTAGCATTTTACATAAACAGGTTTTGGTATTTTAATTCCTACTTAGCTGGTTCTACGAGTACCTCGCTCTAATGGAATATTAATTTTGTTAAAAATGCATTCAGTGCACAAAATTTTGCGATTTTGTGCGTTAATGAAGTGTAAAGAAGGCTTTGAGGTGAAAGGGGAGAGCGAGAGAGATAGAGTATGGATTTAATTGCAGTCAAAATGCGAGTGTGATTATACAAAAAAGTAATTACTGTTATAATAATTCAACTACTAATTAGTTTTTGTTTTCTGTTTGCATTTTGTCTTTGCAGAGGCTGATTACACGCTGGATGATTCGTTTTGGAATGAAGAAAGTCCTGTCGGTAAGTTGAATTACGTGACTTGCTGTAATCAGTAATAAGGAAACTAAAATATAAGTAGTTATGCAAAACATTTTTTTTTATACTAAATCTAATGATTAGTTAAGTAAGGGGTGTCAGCATAAAAGCCATATCGTTCCCCGATGACTTTTTCCTACCTCTGATGGAGTTTCTCCAATAAACAATATCAGAAAACGAATTTTTAAATCTGAGAAGTCGACCTCATCTAAACAGACATTTTGGTATACGAACTTGTTTGGCAAATTTCGACATTCTAACTGTAGTACTCAAAGCAGGTGTTCAGTAGAACATGCTGTAGATTGCAATGGGTCAAATAACCATAATACAAAGTTACAAAATAAAAAAAAATCGCACGAACTTGTTGAGTGACCTACATAGTACAGGTCGTAGAGATCTCAACTCTAAACTTATTATTAAAAAACCATTTTCGCATGACTTCCGGCAGTAAACCAATTTTAGTTCGCTTATTTTTTTAACCAATTTTAAGTTTTTATATGGCCTAAGTAAGAAGAATATTTGTTCTATTTAAAGAAATAATAAGTTTTCTGAGGACATTTTAAACACATACATACGTGGAAAATTTTTGTAATAAATCTGAAATCTTCACCTATCTTTTCCACTTGTACAACATTTCTTGCCAAAACTTCAAACGAAAATAGTCTTTTATAGCCATTACTTCGAAAAAAATTTTTAATTCCGAGTAAAACTAGGTACCACTCATTAAAAACAAACAACAAGTTATGAAAATTTGTATAAAGAGGCAAATTGAAATTTTCCTAGATGAACTATTGAAACCTAAAAATGTATCCAATCCAACTGATTCATATTTTTTGTGAAATTACATCGGATTTTTTTCTTTTCGAAAATTCATAACTTCCGAAAGTTTTTGTTGATTTTTATAAATGGTACCTAGTTTTACTCGTAATGAAACATTATTTTTGACTTAGTAACTAACGGAGACTATTTCCCTCGAAATGTTGGAAAAAAATGATGTAGGAGTAGAAAAAAAATTAAAATTTAATCCACATAAATATTTACAAAGTCCTTACAAAGTTTGTTATTTCATTAAATAGTATTCTTCTTGCCAAAGCCATCTAAAAACTTAAAAAAATCACACATATACACATCAAAACTCTCTATGAAAAGAAATATTTTAAAAATTTTTTTCTTGAAAAATTTTTCACATACAAATTTTTTGATAAAAAAAAAATTGTTTTTGAAAATAAGTCATCTCAAAAAAATTGCAAATATCACAATGGTAGCTCTGAGTATTGCGCAATATTTAAGTATAGTATTATGGGGTGCACACTACAATAATTTGAGTTATGATTTTTTTTTACACCGAAGTTGAGTAAAATGAATACATGACATATTTAACATTTTTTTAATTTTTTTTTTAATTGTTTTAGTATGCAGTTTCTTTCTTTTCCAGTTTTTCACACGCGAATTCACAACGAAAAGGAAATTTTCATACGAAAATATTTTGACAGTTGTTTTCAATTTTACTCGCAACAGGAATCAAATGTGAAATGAAACTGTGAAAAAATTTCGTTTCATTCCCTTTTCTTATTTTCAAGTGAAAACAATTTGACGGTTGTTTTAATTTTACTAATTTAGTTTAGATCTGATCAGTGAGAAGTGAAGTCGGTTTTGTTTTTTGCTTCAAAATTACTTGTTTTATTTCAAGACATCAAATTTGCACGGAAAAGTGACATAAATACGTAAAATATATCTGCTACAAAAAGCAGGTTCTTTTTTGTTGTCCCACCCGTAACATATATCGATAACTATTCTAAATTTTCCTAGCACTCTAAAGAATTTGCTGAAGTAATGTTTCAATAGACATTTGTCATATTTGGTTTGGAGACAAAATGGTTTTGGCGGTTCTCGCCCTCAGCCAACGTCATAAAATATTAAAAAGTAACTGGCGTCGGTTGTTAATTTCGATAAAGCTTGGAATGAGTTTCCGTTTTCCTTTCTCAATTTCAACCAGTTTTAGTGTTTTTCCGTCTTCAGTGTCACTGAAATTTGACAAGGGATGACGGAAATTCGTTTCAAAATACGCTTAAATATTTATTTATAATCCCACCCTTGCCCTTTTTGTAACCAAATAGGTACCCTACTTCTGACCTGAATTCATTTACTCTTTTAAATTTACCAAGAATTTATAATAAATATCGCTCATTTCTCTTTTCAATTTCATTAAAAGCTTTTGACCGGATCTAATCATTTAGTGTGGTTATCTCTATCATCCAATCTTAGTCCTAACTCTCACTACACTTATACCGTGTTTAGCGATGAACGCATTACGTGCACATAGTACATATGCTTGTAAGCTATACTGTACATATGTACTTCTATAGCAGTTATGCGTTGCGTGCCTCAATAAGGCTAACGCGCTGCTATAGCCAATTGCAGTCAGGCATATTCGATGGCGTTTAGTTTAGCGTACTCGTAAGTATCTGTAGGCGTGTTTGTACCGCATGGTGCCAGGTTACATTAAGTGCAACATCTCGTGTTAAATTATTGCATACAAAGTTGCAACATGCAGTTTGCAAGCACGCTATCATAAAAAGCATCTAGCATCTCATTAATGTGCGAGGACGAGTATGGCTGCAGACAGTTTTGCCAGTCTTGGCTTTATGGAATTACTGCTGATACTGCGGTTGTTGAAGTTGGCTAGTGCTAATGGCGTTGCAATTAATATTGTTGTTGTTGTTGTCGAAACTGGTGAACCTGAATCTGTAACGGATATTGTTACATTATTGGCGCTTGTTGCTATGCGTTGCTTATAATGTTTAGTGTGTGTTAGTGTGTCTATGCTATAATTGCTATTACCGCTCTTGATTTCTTAAAGTGCTGCTTCTGCTGTTGTTGCCATTGCAGTTAAGTTTGTTTTTACTTTAAATATTTATCTTGTCGCCCCTGGTACTCCACTGCCGCAGCCCGCATTTTCTTCGTACAAAGTACTAAGTCGTTTGTCTTGTTGTAGTACCTACTACTTAAATTACGAGTAATTGCTGTTGTTTTTGTCATTAATTTAAGAGTTATTGTTGTTAATATTTGCTTTGCTTCCGTTGTTGCTGTTGTTGCTGTTGCTATTATGTTGCAGCTGTTTTGGTCGCACTTTAAGCTCTTAAACATACGCAACTTTGTACATTCATCATTTGGTGGTGGTGGTGGTGGTGGTGGTGGTGGTGGTGTTGAGGACGGCAACGACGCCAACTACGAGGGTAAACGATGTTGTCTGCAGGAGCAGGCTGCTGGTAAGGCATTGCTAGTTAAATCTGACGCTAACTGCAAACAAGTTGATGGCAATAACAACGGCATTACGTGCAACAGCTAACAGGCAACTAAAAGAACGAACAACAACAACAGCAACAATTCATGAACATTACAAGCGTTTTGGATTATGCAGTTGTTCGCCTGGAAGTATGCCTTGTTTGCGCTTGCTTTAACTGCAGTTGTTGTTTTTATTGTTATTGCTGTTGTAGGAATTAGCTCTAACAAGTTATGCATGCGGTGTGGCAAAAAAATAACTTCGTGCAGAACGTTTAAGAGGGTTGCACATAGGACATTCGCTCTAATATCCAATGTGCGGAACTCCCTTTTGCCCTAGCGTTTGTAGCTGTTGCAGCACTGCTCTTGCTCTTGCATTTTAAAACCCGCAAAGCCGTTTGCAATTTACGCATTTTACTTTGACAAACTGTTATTTTTCTGTGTCGTGAAGACACGCTGAAAAGGGACTAAAACTTTATTTCAAGGAAGAACTTTGAAAACAGCCCTAATGTGGTGAAAATTGTGTTGTCTTAATGATACTATCTTATCAGGAGTATTTACATTCGTTGAATTTGGAAAATTTCAGTTACAGTTGTTTCTGAAATTCTCTTATCCAGGAAATTGGCAAGGGATAATAGAAAATCGTTCCAAAATACATCATACTGCTCTGCGTCGCGGCTCATTGCTTTCGAGATACAGAGCCTTGTTAGTTACAAAAAAAGGTACTTATGTGAGATCCATTAAAAACGTCAGCTTTGCTGCAAGCT